TTTTTTTTTTTCAAAGCCCATTCATTTAAAGTTCATATTTATAAATGATGCACATGACTAATACTTTTGTATTTTTGTGAATATCTTCGCTTACCCTTCAAAACAAAATGTACATCTCTGTTCTCTATATATATACACACACACACACACACACACACACATATATATATATATATATATATATATATATATATATATATAATATATATGTGTGAAAATATATAGAAAATAGGAAAGAACTCATTAGGTAAATAATCTGAAGTTCTTTAGTATTTTTGTTTTTATTTTTAAAAAACAGTGCTCGATACAAAAGTAGAGCCTAAATTATAATTATTTATTTAAAAATATGATTCCTCTGCTACATAAGAGTTCTCATGTTTCAAAAACAAGAGCTAAAAACTTCAATATAATTATTAGAATTAAATTGAATTAAAGTACCAAGCTCTGTTTCATCTTCAAGTGAAATTTCCAAAAATTTCGCTTGAAGATGAAACAGAGCTTGGTACTTTGGGAATATGCTTTTCTGATTGGATAATATAAAAAATTTTTGTCATTTTTGTTTATCCATGAGATTCTTGTAAATTTAATTGTGTGCTTCTTTTTAAATTTAAATTAGATGATGTAAATAGATTAAACAATCATTGGTACAACTTAAACAGACTGGTCCACTCATAATACTTAGGAAAAATTTGGGAGGGGGATATAATTTGTGTTGATTAATATTCTTTAGACCTTTCTTAGACTGTGACACTTGTCAGAATTGAAAAACCGATTTTTTTTTCATTTATTTTTTTCAGAATAGTGTTTCAAATTGATCACTGATTTTGAAGAGTTACTGGCCTTAGGCTAAGTCATTTAGATGTCATTTACAAATATCAAGTTTGGGAAAGTGCTAACTGACATCATTGATATCTGTATATTTTTTTACATTTTAAAAACTTTTTTTGTATGGGATTTTGTCAGAGGTGCATGCACAAACATTGAAGATCATAATTATTTATCTTAAATTAAGAATAAACAGATAAATATTTTCTATTAATTTATGCAATTTTTTTCTTTACTTAATAATGTATATATCCATTTGTGCATTAAGATAAATCTTTCTGTAATCCCACTTCAAGAAAAGATTTTCATACACAAAACAGCTAAGGCTAATAACTCTTTAAAAGTTAGGGATCGATTTGATACAGTCTCAATATTATAAACAGGATCCCCCCCTTCTAAATGGATAGAAAAAAAACAATATTTTTCCATTCTATCAAGTGTTGTGGATTAAGGAAGGTGTAAAGAATGGTAATCAACAAAAATTATTTCCTCAAAACCTTTTTCCTACTTTTTATGAGTGGACCAGTCTATTTAAGTAGTGTCTAACCATCAAACTTGAAATCAGTGCTACTACATCACTGCATTTTGCCAATCTACGTGAATCCTCCTCAGTACAAGATATCAATCCCATGACTTTAGCACATAAGTATACACACACACACATATATATATACACACACACACACATATATATATATATATATACATATATATATATAGGAGGCACGGTGGAGTAATGAATATCAGCTTGGATTGAGGAATCAGAGAGATGAGTTCGAATTCCAGTCGTATCCATTACATTCACTTACGTGTTAATACCCTTGGGAAAGGTATGAATCCTCTTCTTCTCCCTCCAGCTATGGGTAAATAGCAGGACAGACTGGGTTCTATAGCCTTGGATGGCAACTGGTCTCGGAAAAAGGACAACTCTGAATTCAAAACCTGCGGAGGGTCGTTTGGGGACCTTGTGGCACGTAGTGCACCAGGTCTCTCTATTCGTCCCTTCAAAAAGTGTAGATGGTCCTGCACGAAACCTTCACTACTATAATCAATTCTCATGTGCTGTTGTCGGGTTGTTGGTTTCCTGGGAATTGATCTGCTTGACCCTCGTACGTCGGATTCGATGGAAGGGTCGAGCGAGCGATATATATATATATATATATATATATATGTGCACACATAAGTGTTGCTCATCATAAGATAGTGTTTTAATGTTGGAAATATGCTTTTCTGATTGGATAATATAAATCTTTTTGTCATTTTTGTTCATCCATGAGATTCTTGTAAATTTAAATGGGCTTTTATTACATGGATGAGGTGAGCAGACTCAGTACCCACTTGACCTTTGAATTGACTGGTAACAAACACCTACTGTAGACAAATGTATTTTTTCTACTGTATTTTGTGTGAAACAGGTAATATTTTTTCAAATTCCATTTTGGCAAACATCTAATTTTCATTGAATCCTATATTTCTATAACAGCTGGTTTATTTTTGGAAAATTCTTCATTCCAAAATTTTATTTATTTTTGTTGGTAGACATCAATCCTGATATAACTGAAGTTAATTTTGGATGACAAAAACTGACATTAAAAAAACTAAAAAGTATGCAAAAGTATTTTTAAATGACTAACATTATGCTATTTTCTTGCAATTAAAAACAAAATTGTAACCAGATTTAAATTATGAGTTGAAGATATGGATTAAACCTGACAAGATAATTAGGAGCAAAAACAAAAACCTTTATAAATTTACCTTCACTATTTAGCTTCATCACAAATTATTTGGGAGTGGAATAAAGTTTTGATTTTTAAATTCTGTTTTGTTTTCATTGGTTACATTTAATCAGCCAATGAAAACAAAATGTAGAATTTAAAAATCAAAACAGTTCCACATTATTCCACTTCCAAATAATTTCTAATGAAGCTAAATAAATTGCAAAATTTCTAAAAGTTTTTCTACTTGTTCTTTATTCAAATTTAATCACATATGCATGTCTATAGATGCAGTTTTGCTGATTCATACACAACCAATGAAAATATTGAATTTAAAAATCAAAACAACTCCACATTATTCCACTCCCCAAATTTCTGATGAATCTAAAAGTGTGAAACATTAAAATTATAAAGGTTTTTCTACTTATTTGAACTGTTTAAATTTTTATAAAATGCCTGTAATCATTACTTTAATCTCTCAATTTTTTTTATCTGACCATGTAAGTAATATACAAATCCTACTGCTTCATTCAGATATATTTGTTATTTGTGTAACATCTGAAAAGTGGATTTGGTCTATACTATTAGATATGAACAAAAATAGCATGACATGTTTTGTGCATTACAAAGCAACAGGCACTGGCTTTTACTTACATAGATTTCAGTTTTTTATAATATCAGGTTGTTTGGAAAGTAATGTTGCATTTTTGAAGGCATTAAAAATAGTTTACACAAAGCAAATGTGAAATTTCTCAAATACATAAATATCATTCTTCTTTTATATGCCCTACTCCATCAGATGGAGGCGATCACGGCTCTCCACAACTTCATTCCCCTTGTATCACTAAAGCAATGTTCGTCTCCTTACTATCCTTCCCTGTTCATGTTCTGACAACCATTTACACAAACTCATTAGGTAGCTTACTCACTGTTTCTCTCTGTTCCTCTTCTCTTCAGTATATCCTGTGAGTGTCAGATTCTCCAAGCCGCCTTTCCTCATTAGTTATCGTAGAAATTTCAACTGTCTTTTTTTAATCCTAAGCAAATGTCTTGCTGTATTGAAAAAAATCTGATGAGGGTATGCATCCTTGTCTTATACCCCATTCTTTTTAAAATATTAATTTTGTATGTAATATAATAATTGTCTATAATAATTATGTTACTAAGGTGGTTTTGCTTTTTAATTCTATCTACAAAAATGTAACATTGCGTTCAAAACAATCTAATATAAATTACAAGTCAAATTTTGAATGATTGCAACTTCAGTTAAAATGAAGTTAATTGGGTTAGCGCTTTACAGCTAGTCTATGATAAAGAACAAATAGGAAAGGTTTATCAATCTAACATGTTTCACTTTCATTAAAGCTTCATCAGAGAATGAGATATGGAGAAAAAGAAGAAAGAAATTCTAGTATTTTTACTTTTGTGTTTGATTTTCATTGGTTAATCATCTTTCATGTGCATTCAACCCTTTAAACCTATGTTAGTATAATTTGTGGGGTTCCAAATTCAAGGAGTGGCGGCACATCCATCCAAAGTTTCAAGAATTTAATGGATTCTAAGCCTATCTGAAAAACTGTAAATATTGCTATATATATGTAAGTGTATAAAAATTCTAGCTTGTCTATGTGGGAATAAAAAGATAATGTATATTCGTAAGTGTGTGTATGTCTAGTAGCCATTGTTGGTTATTTGCATGTTCATTTCAAATGTTTTTACATACATACTGTTTTAGATAAACATACGTTAGATTCTTTAAGAATGGATTCAATAAAGGTTGGTGATGTAATGTTTTTGATGTGTGTTTATAGTTGGTAATATTGTTACTAGTAGTCTTTCAAAGTACTTTCTCCGTAAGAAATTGTGTTTTTTTTATTTAGGGTGGTATTAGTAAAATCAAAGTTATTGTCACTATTGTTACAGTGTATTATGAATGGTTGTCTAAATGTAAATCTCTTTTGTGTTTGTAGATACAGACTTTTAGATCACATGAGGTCTCCTCAATATAAACTCTTTTACATTGTAAACCATTCATTTGATAAGTACCGGCATTTGAATTGGTGAACTTTGGATGGACATGTCATCTCACCTTGAACTTGGAAAGCCACAAATTATACTAATGTTGGTTTAAAGAGTCAATTACACATGAAACATGATTGACCAATGAAAATCAAAGAATACAAAAGTAAAGATACCAAAATTTCTTTCTTTCTTTTTCTCCATATCTCATTTTATGATGTAGATTTAATAAAAGTGAAACGTTAAATTGATAAATGTTTCCTATTAGTTCTTTTTCTTATCATTATGTCAGATTCTAATCCACATTTGATCACAACTCAGCTAGATTCTATGTATGTATTAAGGATGACACTAAGGAAAGTTCCCCCCACCTTACACTTTTTTAACATCTTTTACATAAAAAAGCAAAATTAAAATTTGTGATGCTATTTTTGGTTCTAGACAGCAAATTGAAAGCATGGAGGAGAAACACCGTCAGGCAGAGATGGAACGAATCCAGAAACAGGCACAGCTGGAAGAAGAATTAGAAGAACGAAGAACACAACTGGATCTGATGCAAGAAGAAATGGAGAAGACAAAAAGCGAAACCAAGAAAGTGAGTTTAGCATCCTTTCTTAATTGTTATTGGCCCTCGTTCGATGGCGTTCCTTTGGAGGATTGGCGTGATTACGTCTCGATTAAGGGACAAGCTTCATGAAATGGAGTGGCTCTTGCAGCGTGTCTCACTGGTGATGGTTCAAGGTAATGCTTTCTCCATCATTGCAGCTGGCAGAGGATAGCAAAAAAAAAATTGTTTATAGTTTCTGGAATTGTCATCAACTGAACTTGCTTTATTTCAATAAATTTACTTGATTATTAAAAAAAAAAAATTCTTGGCCTATTATATAAAAAGGAACTTGAATTTGATGTCAAAGCAAACCTACTTTTGTTTCCAAGACAATGTCTGACATCCATCATAAATAATTTGGAGATAAATCCTCAGGGAGATAAAACATAACTTTCAGATTTAAGTATAAGAATTCTGACCTCTGTAGGGTGCATTAAATACCATTTAGATAGCTCAAACCCATGAAGGAAGTTATATTAATTAATGAGAAAATTCCTGATGTTGGGAAATAATAGATGTTAGACAAAGGTAAAAATTGAAAAGGTGGTTTCAAAGCTATAAAAAAATGGGAAGATACAGAATTCTGATTGATAGAATTTATGATAATATTCTTTGTTATTCCTATTTTCCTTAAGCCTTCCTCATTGTTCACATGTTCTGTCTGTGGTATTCTTCATATTTATTGGCTCACATATAGATAGGTAGAATTAATCAAAGGTTGGAGACTAAAATAGATCAGCACATGCCAGCTAAGATCTATTATGGGTGATTCGATAATTTGCATGAGCTCATTAATACTTCATGTCCAGTGATTGCTGAACGTAATAAAATGATCTGGTATGTTATGTCATTTACAACAGATTTCTTCACCATAAACAGCAGAGTGCACTCCAGTTGCCATTTGAGAATATTAGAGACATTACACATTAGGTCTATGCAGCATTCCCTCTGTAAGAAGGATTGACTGCTGGGTCTTAATATAATCAGATTGTGATTATTTTTTCACCTTCTGCTGATTCCATCACCATTTTAAATTTATTGTTTCTTTTTAAATGTTCTATGCACAATTTGCACATTTGTCCTCAATTGACTTCAAAGAGTGAGGATCAAAAACAGATCAGCCTCTTTAGTGTTATTTTCTTGTTTATTGTTGGTATTATTCCAATTTGCAATTTATTATCCTTGCTCTTCTTCCCCCTGTTATATATATTACAATGAATCATTCATACAAAAAGTAGATTAGTAAAGTTAATGATATAAAATGGCAAAATCCCTTCGCAAACAAAATTTTAAAGGTGCATTAACCTACAAGTCACTCAATGAATGGTATGATCCTTGTTTTTAAAAATTATAAGCTGCATAAGGTCTTTCTTTAATACGCAAGTACTTTCCATGCCTGAAGATGACTGAATGTACAGTTGAAAGTACTTGCGTATTAAAGAAAGACACATTGACACCTTCCAGCAGACGTCTTTAACCTCTGGCCTCCGACCTGCCAGCTTTGTCTAGCTAAATCACGTTGTGTAACTTTTTCAACAAAATTCATACATCTGTTCCCATATCCTGGGAAAATAATTCTCTTTCTGACAAAAAATTAAAATCGTTTTGTTTTAACCCTTTTCGTCTGTTTAACCCTTTTTGTCCATATGCCATGAACCTGATCCTTCGAACTATTGACCTATTAGTCTTCTATTTCTTTTTGGCAAAGTACTAGAGGCTCTAATCAACTCTGAATTGATTAAACATCTCTCCTCTCAGTTTGGCATGCTGGTCTTCACAAGTTTGAAACATTTTGGTGTTTTTGACCGTTTCTTTGATTCACTCTTTCTTCTCAGACCACATAATGAAAGTTGTCTTGAATAGCCTTCAGACCATTCTGCATTAATGTGGGCATCCCACATGACTCTATACTTGGACCCACTCTATTCCTTATTTTCATCAATGACCTGATGTAATCAGTTCCCAACTCGGTATCTAAGCTGATGATACAACTATTTACTCTTGTCTTAATAGTATATCTAATAGCGTCAATAAAATCAAATTGGTAACTGATCTCAAAAATGACCTTTAATCTGTTAACTGGGACAAGAAATGGCTTGTTAATTTTAACACCTCTAATACAAAACTGCTCTCTCTTAGTCATTTTAATGAAATGTTTTTGCCTTCCATCAGCATAACTGATGCTAACCTCCAAAAGAGCAACTGGTCCTTCTTGGTCTCGCATTTTCTACTAATATGAAATTGAATGGTTATATTGAATCACTTTCTAGGTCTGCTGCTAGAAAAGTCTGTTCTCTATGTCATACTAGACAATTTCACTATTTGTCCATTCATTGAATATTGCTGTCATCTATTCTGGTGCTTCTGCTATGTATCTACAGATTCAAAATTCAAAGAACTGTTAATTTTAGCAGTCATGACCTGGCATCACAGCTTTGGTCACTTTCCTACCACTGTAATATAGCTCCTTTTTTGCCTCTTCTATAAATATTTTTGGAATAATTGTTCCAATGAACTTTCCTCTTTGGTACCTTGACTTCATGAATTTAAGTGCAGTACTAGATTGGCAGTTAGGTCTCATAATTTCACCGTTGAAATTGCTAGTTGTGAGAATAAGTTCTATATTAAGTTTTTTACTCTCTCACACTTCTTGCTGATGGATCCTCCTGCCTGTTTCCTGCTTTCCTGTCAATTATGATTTTCAAAAATCTAAATGCACTGTTAAACTTCATCTTTTGTCTTAATTTTTTTTCATGTGCCATTTGTAATACATGCTTAGGCGATCATGTATCCTTTGTTATCTGACAAGGCAGATTTTTCCATGCAGTAGGTTGCCATTTTTTTCTGCACTAGACCAGTTGCCATCCAATGCTATAGAACACGGTCTGTCCTGCTATTTACCCATAGCTGGGAGGAGAAGAAGAGGATTCATATCTTTCCCAGTATTAATACGTAAGTGAATATAATGGATTCAACTGGAATTTGAACTTAGCTCTCCAATTTCTCAATCTGAGCTGCTATCCATTACTCCACCATGCCTCTTCTTAATTCCTGTTTCTTTATTGTCCTCTCTGTTTCTTTCCTTCTTGGTAACCCCTTGCATCCCAATGGTTTTTATTGCCTTGCTTGTGCTGAAATGATTAAAAAGAGAATGAAAAGGAAAAAAAAAACCTAAATGATGAGTTTAAAATAATCTTTCTTTTATCTTTAGGTTCAGCTTATGATGAAAGAAGAGCAAGCCAAACTGAAACGGAAAAGTCAAGAAATAGAGAAGCAGTTTAAAGATTATATGCAAGAGAAAGAGAAATTCCAGCAGGAGAAGGAGCTAGAAAGGGTTAAAAGACAGAAGGAAACGGTAAATATCTTTATCTTTACCATGTAAGCATTTCAGTGGGGATGGCTTTTTGATAAATGAGCAGACTGTCGACCTTTATGCATAAGATGCTACATCAATGGAGACACATCACTGAAAACTCTTCCAGAAGTAAAATGTAGTACTAAAGCTCACTAGTGGATTAAAGCATTGGTTCATTAATTTAGTGACATAGTAATTCTGAGTTCAATCTCTGAGCAGAGTAGTGTGTATTCGAACTCAGTTGAAACAGAGCAAGAAATAGCTGAGCAGTACTTAAAATAAGAACTAGGTGAGGTATCCCTAGACACAGGCAGTAGAATGAGAACAATCTACTGCCAAAGATTAAGTGAAGAGTTCATTTTGAAATTCTCTGCAGATTACCCATATCAGTATAAAGCTGATGAAAGCCAAGGGGCTCAATAGCTGAAACGTGATAACAACAAAGAGGAGGACAATAACGCACATAAAAATGATGTAAATATTGATAACTGATCATCTGAGAAATTCAGAAACAAACACTAAAGTATAAGGATTGGAAGAAAAAAATTGTAATTTTTTTTTTTTTTTTTTTAAATTTTTACAATCAGCATTTGCCAACCTTTTCTCAACCTGCACCCCCTTTGGGCACAAACATTTTTGTCAACGCTCCCCACTCCCCCGAGTCAAATTAAATTTTGAATATTATACTGAATTCATCTTTCATAGCAAGATAACACTTAGGTATTAGTGCAAAAATAATGTTAATACTGTTTTCATTTCTATTAGAAAAGACTTAGCCAGATAAAAGTTTTTTTAGGATTTTAATCATTAATGATTAAAATCCTAAAAACACTTTTATCTGATAGCTTATCTCAATGTTTTCAATGCGATGGTTGACTTTGGTGCTTACTGGCTAAGGCTCTTACTCTAAGTTCCATGCTTCTTGGAAGTAACTGTAAATCATTTTGTTTTGTAATTTGCAGGCGGTTTCTTTGTTTTGTAAGAAGCCCTGTAACCGCGTTGAAACTACATTCAGCCATATAGGAAGTTGAAAAAGTAATGAAATGTTTGATCGCTTTCCACAGCACTTTCAGAAATTTACTTTTGTAGCCAATATTGAATAATTTTTGAAAATCTGAAAAAAATGGATACATGCTCACCGCCATCTGGGTATGTTCACTGCCCCCACAAATGAAATAAAAAAACTCCCAGTGCCCCTTTTCAACATAAGAGCCCACAATGGGGTGCTATTACCCACTTTGGGAAACACTGCCTTAAATAAATAAATCAAATGAAAACAAAATTTTAAAAGTAGTACCTTTTTATATTTTATTTTCAGCCAGGATTTTCACCAATATGAAGTAAAATTATCCCGTTTCCACAAACAGTTCTGAAAAACTACATGTGCACAAGTGATATTCAAGCCTCAAAAACACTTTTGATATTTCTTGTATAGCTTATTCTCGCCCATGATTTAAAGTAATATTAAATAAAATTATCACATTTCCATATGTTGAATCTGAATCCAGAGTATTCTCACTCCTGTTAGAGGAATCCCTCCCTGTTTGACCATGTCCTCAGGGGAATAGCCATATTCATAATGCTTGGCCAATTGTGGATTGATGGAGCTATTTAACCCATAGTTGAAATGGACAGACAATGGCTCTGAAGAGTTCATCCATTCTTTAGCACTTATTTTTTTGTTCCATTTACCCTCATCACTAGACCCTTTTGTCTAGTGAGGGAGTCAGCTTAGTCACCCAGATTTTGAAATCAGAGTTGTCCTTCTCCTAGATAGGTTGCCACCCAAGTCTATAGAACCCAGTCTGTTCTGCTGTTTACCCATAACTTGGAAAAGAGATGGATTTATACCTTTCCCAAGGGTATTTGCACATAAGTAAATGTAACATACTCAACTTGAATTTGAGTTCAGCTCTCTGATTCTTTAATATGAGCTGCTATCCATCAGTCCACTCTGCCCACCCCCCACATGTCGAGACACTTCTAAGATTTCTTTAACATTATGTAAAGATAGTGCTAGGATCTTTTGTATCAAGCCAATATACTCCTCTTATTTTGATACAAACATAAATTATTTTCATTTTTAATTGAAAGAAAGAATCAAACCAGTTAACATTAGCAAAAAACAATTTGACAACAGACAACTTTGTCCACTTCAAACCTCACCTCCTTGAGACCCCCACACTTATCCCAGTATTCTTTTCACTTTTTAAAAATTGTCTGCAAAGTTTTTTGGGTTTTTTTTGCCATCAGCTACCTTGTTGTGTTCTCTTTAATTTTGATCTTGTTCATGATCTGAAATCAATTCCCTTTTGAAGTCAAATCTGGAGCATGGTACAGATTGGGGGCCTGTGTGATGTTTTGGCAACAACCCTGCATGGAAATGCAATAGTGACACAGTATGGAAACTCTCTGCCAAATGAGTAACTTCATGAGACAGACTCTGTTTGGAAAAGCACAGTAAGGTCCTCTCTTATTGGAGTCCAAATTACATCAAGATTTTATTTGGACAGACCTGGCAGGCAAATACTTAATACCTTTTATCTTTTTAATATCTTTTATATAATTAGTGATAATTGTGTGCTGTTTTCATTGCAGGAAGAAGAAATTGCAAAAAGGCTTCTGGACAAGAATTCAAGTTACTGCCAAGAAGTAGAACTACAGCTAAAACAGTTGGCAGAGGAGGAACTTGTTCATATCAACAATCTACAGAAGAAAAAAGAAGCTTTGCAGCAGGTAAAGATCATTCTTCAGATCATCTGCATGAAGTTGTTACAGGATTTGCTTATTGTGTAAAGCAGAGGTTGGCAAGCTCCAGCCTCCAGGCTACATCAGACTCTCAAAGGATTTTTGTCCACTCCGCCAACTTAAACTGAACTCAGCTTAACACAATTACCATACTCTTCTTCTTTCCTTTCCAGAAGCCATTTTTGTCTGAACAAAAATAAGCCCATGTAAACTAAGAAAAGAGAAGTGGATTTTGAATGCCAAAATTTTAGCAAAGGCTGAACACTTAGCTATTTTTTCATCAATCACTTTGGAAAATGTGTTTGCTTAATTTGTCAAGAAACTATTGCCCTGAAGAAAGCTTGAAATACAATGAAACTCATTATAATCATTATAACAATTTTACTGGAAAGGCAAGAGAAGACCAAGTTTCACAGCTAAGAAACAATTTAACAATGCAGTCATTGTTTTTCACTAGAAAGGTTGAAGAAATGACAGAAAATGCTAGCTATGAAGTGTCAAAACTAATTGCAGAAAAGATGAGACCTTTTAGTCATGGAGAGTTCTTCAAAGAATCTATGTTGAAGGTAGCAGATGTTGTTTGTTCAGAAAAAAGGGAGCTATCAGTTTATCAGCAAGAACAATAAGAAGGCCAATTGAAGAACTGGCATTTTTTGTTGATTGTGTTATCCTGTTATTGCTACAGTAAAATAGGTAACTTTGTTTAAATAATATAACATTAACTTTGTTGTTTTTTCTTTAGACCTCCTGACAAAGACAGCCTTCTGGATGGAGCAGTCTGGGGGTCGAGACAATTTATTATAGTACACTTGATATCATGGCCCTCTTCCGAGACACTGTATAGATGTCTGGCCTACTCTCTCCAAAAGGTTGCCAAACCCTTGTGTAAAGAGTAAGGAAATAAAGCTTCATTTACTCATGAGACATACAGTTATTTTTTAATACAAACATCTATTGACAATTTTAGTTTTATCATTGTATGATGTGTAGCAGGTGTTAACAATCTTCTGATTTAGTAGACGAAGAATTCTAACATGATGTAAACATACAATGAAGCCCTATCTCGGTTTTTCCCTGACCAGACAAACCACTCCATGTTGTGTCTCTACTCTCATTCATATCGGTGTGTGCAAAAACTGGAACATATCCATCACATGTTGACAAGGGAAGCAAAAATTGTTTTGTTGTTTATTTATGCATTTAACTTGGACAGATGGAAAACATCACTGGAAGTGACTGAAACAAGCCTTAAAAGTCCTCCTCTAAGTCTGTGAAGACAACTACAATCTGTCTGTAGTTATTATGCAAATCACATAAGCCTCAATAACTTGAATTTGCTTTGAACAATTTTTGTCCAAGTTTAAATTAATTGTTTAAAATGATTAATTTAAACTTAAGTTAAAAATTTTTAGGTAGTTGGATTATTGGATTTATTATAAAAAGTACAGTCTGAATTTATTATGCAGATTAAACTAATATTAGTTTAAAGCCTCTGAAATCTAATAAAAACTATTTTTTTCCATAATATATTGAAACATAACATAATAAAAGACAAAAGAAAAACTTATCTTAGCCAATGCATTTCATCCTCTAAGGAACTTTTTCAAGGCAATTCCAAAGATTTTATTTTTTAACAAGTATTTATATACATAAAAATAAATTCCTTACATTTAAAGTTTTAACAAATTCCCCCAGTGAATATAACATTTCGGCTAAGATAAGTCTTCATTTTGTCTTTATTCATATTGCTTTTTTACAGATAGAGTACATCTGAAATTTTTACAATAGAAAGGATCTAACAAAAGCTGAAAGACAAAAAATAACAAAAATATTAAGCAATGGGATATTCACATTCAAGATATCAAAGGAGCTTTGAAGAAATCCTTGAACAATTAAGAGGGCTGTTGAAAATATAACTAAGTTGAGAATTAGAAGCAAAGGCTTTAAGAATTTGTCTCCTCAAGAGGAACATAAACTAAAGTAAGTTATAGTGAAACAACCACTTTTGATCTGATCTTTGAACAGACTGGAATTGAAGGAGTTAAAAAGTACAAAATGTGTGGAGTATTTCACAAATTGGGATCTGTCAAGTAACCTTGGAAAACCCTTCTCAGTAAAGCAAATATTTAAAGCATCAAAAGTGGGCCAAGAGATACAGGAAAATTGACTTTTCTAAAGTAAAATAAAGATTGTCAATTGATAGTAGCAACTGCAATAGATTTCTTCTGTTTCTCGACCGCAACACTTGTAGCCAAATCACAGTTCAAATGATAGTCCGACGTAACAGTCCAACACACAATGTAGAAACAACAAAATGGGGTCACACGTCCAACCTTCACTTCTCACCAGCAAAAACGCATGTTCGTTCCACCAAGCTCAAAAAAATCTTCTCCTTTTATCAGCGAAAAACAACGACTTCTGTTCACCGAGAGAATTTTCTGATTGCTTTTGCCATTCAGGGGAGGGAAGAACATTAGCATAGCTTCTAGTCATTGATGTAGATTTTTGCTAACTACTTTTTGGTAATTTTTCTTCGTCAGATCACACACAAAACAAAAACTTTTTTTCGAGGTAACTGATTATCTCTTTCAGTACAGAATGAATCTTGAGTGACACTTGAAGAACCTGATGGATGGGTCAAAAGATGACTTTTATCCAATGCAAATGTGTTTGTGGCTAAATGAAGGTACCAAGGAGGCGGCAGTGTGATGATATGGGCTGGAATAAATGACCAAAGTATTATTGAACCATTCAAAGTCAATGAAGGAGTTAAACTGAACAATGCTATTGTGATTTCATGGATAAGACTTTTGTTGAATGGCCTTGCAGCTTCAAAGTGAAGTCTGTATTTATGCACAACAATGCTCCTTTTCATGTATATAAGGCTATACGTGAATTTTTGAACATATATAGGTTTACTCAGGAGAAGATAATGGAATGACAACCATGAAGTCCCATTCTGAATCTGATCAAAAATCTGTGGTCAGTTGTGAAGATGGAATTATATGAAGATGGCAAACAATATGACAGCAAAGTTGGCCCATAGGAAGCAATTAAAACCAACATGTTGGGAATTGAATCTGCTGAAATAAAAAAAAATCAATGGAAAATAGATTGCTGGCTGTTATTAATAAGGGTCACTATATTAAAATGTAAATGCTTCAAAGGCTTATCATATGTTTATTTGTTGTTATAGGTGTTGATCAATTGTTGAGGATTTTATTACTTTGTTTTGACATCTAAAATTTGAGTTATTGAGGTTTATGTGATTTGCATAATAGCTTCAATTGAAAATTAGATGTAAAGGAAAAGTTGAGAAGTTCAAATCAACTGATGTTCCATCAACCAGTTGTGTGTTAATGCCAGACAGGTGAAGAGAGAAATGAGTTTTAATATAGATTTTATAAGGAAAGATTAACTGTTTTTCTCTTTTCTATTACTTCTCATTAAGACTACAAAGTAAACAAAACTTTGCTACTTTTAATAGATGCAATTCAGTCTAGGAAAATGCAAGTTTGAGTTCAATTTTTCATCAGTGAGAATAATTTTTATCATTCGTTTTGTTGCAGGAAGTATCAAATTTGGACAAGCAACGTGAGAAGCAAATACAATTGGAAAAAGACATTGAAAATATCGAGAAGCTAAAATTAACCAAAGAAAATTTGCTTGAAGCAATGAAGCAACAATTTGAACAACAAAAGATTGACCTTGAAGACCAGAAACAACAGGTAAATTTTTATTTCTTTTTAATTTTGACTGTCCACTCAGTTTCAATTTTTATTTAAGATTCTCCATTTTTTAATCTCTGCCAAGTCTTCGAGTATTTGTCTACATTTCTGACATGAGGCCTTCTTCAGGTGATTGGAATTTTGACCTGAACTCTTTATTTCATCCAGGGTAGATTGTTCTAATTCCACATGCCATGACTTTTCTGGATGTCACACTTATCTCCCAGTGGATAAAAGCATTGGTTGGATCCAGTGACTTGACCCAAAGAGTTGTGAGTTCAATACCTAGCTACTGCAGTGGTGAACAAAAACTTGGAGAGTTGAATTGAAGGGAGATAACTGAGGCATCCAAAAGAGGCATGGCATGTAGAATTAGAACAATCTATGGGTGAAATAAAGGGTTCAATTAAAAATTCCAATCACCTGAAGAAGGCCAGAGCATACAACAGCTGAAACGTTATGAAAATGACAATAAAGATGAGGACAACAGTCTGAACAATGTAAATAATGTAAACAGTTTTTTTTGTTTTTACATTATTTCACCCCAAGTTAGTTAATAAAGTCACTAAAATCCAAGTTGCCTACCATTCAACCTTAGTTTTGCCCTAATTGGTTGACTTATGACTGTGAAATATGTAATTACTTTCCAAACACCCTAATATAATAAGAGAAACATTGATGATAGAAAAATAATCCTAATTTTAGGTACAAAGCCACAATTATGAGGTTCTCAGTGTAGTTCAAACTCAATGCCAGTGCGTACTACACCATAACCTCCCAACCAAGATAGGATAAGCCTGATTGTGGGCCCCAGGCAGGGCTTTATGACCCTCGCTATCTTATCAACATTTGCTTTTTTTTCTACCTACATTCATATGCATTACAAATGAAACGAGCACAATTGACTATAAAAGGATGAAAAATCTTTACAGATTTTGACATCGTTCTAGTGTCTTTTCTTTTGCCCAAATCTGTGAATTTGTTTTGCTCATGCTAAGTCTCAAAAAGACACTATAATTCATTATTTTTAAACCATAATGTTGAATGTGTTAAAATTATTCAACTTTTATAACAAGAAAAATCTCAAGTTGATGTAAAAAATTGCCATAAAACATTGTTGGTTTATTTAAGATGGAATGATCTATTATGACATGTCTCCAATTTGTATTTAGATACATTGTATTTATTTTCAATTTTTTCTAGTTGAATTGTTCACCTATATTGCATAGGATCCATTATTGTGCATAATTAGGTTACAAAAAAATTTGTATTTCATATGAATAGTACCTTATGAAAATTCAAATGTAGTAGATTTGGATGTGGAGACGACAAAACATTTTCGCTGGTTCTGTTCAAACTCCTTCCTTAGCAGTAAGAGCTGCTATATCAGTTAACTAACCATTACACCATTCTAATCTCTAATCACTATAAACCTAATTTGAATGCCATTTAATATTCACCTTGATTATTGATATCAGAAAAATTACCATCTTAGAAATGTTATTGAGAAACAATAATTAGTTAAAAAAAAAAAAAATGCGGGTATAGTATCTTGGCACATCATACTTATTATAAAACCCAGGTTGTGTGTGTGTGTGTGTGTGTCTGTACGTTTATATATTGGATCGGATTTCCTACATTTTTCAACCGATTTCAACAAAACTTCACAGGACTATGTAAAATTACCTTGCGGTGGTTCTGACAGCGCCAAAAATTGGAAAATACAATTGTTTTTGCACAAAATCAATTTGAAAACACGATTAAGAGGCAACACGAGAATGAAAGGGGGACAACTCATATCGAGTTATACTTATTATAAAACCCAGGTTGTTTGTTTGTGTGTGTGTTCCTTTATATATGGGATCGGATTTCCTACATTTTTCAACCAATTTCACTTTTTTTCTGGCAGGTAGTGTTTCTTATTGTCTTGCACACTTTTTTCTTTATTTTTACATTCAGAATGCTTTAAAAATTCCATTTACAAGACAATTGTTTATAATAAAATTCTATTCAATCGATAGACTCATAACGATTGAAAACAATGTTTTTGTTTAAGTTTGGGTTTGACCAATTCGTAAAAAAAAACTAATTAAGACATGCATGTCCATCAACCTTAAACAATAATCTTTGTCAATTTTATTTTTCAGTCTTTATGATGGTCAATACTTGATCTATCTCTTACTGTTACATCCCCGGGCAACGCCGGGCTCTACTGCTAGTCTTTTATAAATTTATGTAAGGCTAAATTTTGTCTGTATTCCCACCTTACATCAGTACATCCAACAGCAAGGCCTCTGATCAGGAGGTTTTGAGGAGTGTGGAACCACCTCTTAATTGCTGTTGTTCCCAGATCTACCTTGACCCAAAGTGGTTGCACCTGTTAGGGTCCCAGCTATGAGTAAATAGTGAACCCCCAAATAAAAAAAAATATTACAAAATGTCAATATGCTACTAAACAAAATCAATCAAACAACCTTACATCAGTAGAACAAAACAACTTGCATTGTTAACAGATCATAAAATTTACATCAGCTTTGTTAGATATACTGATTTATTAAGCGTAGTTTAGATGTAGTACAAGGCTGAAATTAGGATTGAATTCTGTTGTAATTGATCTAGCAAGACAAGCTTGTTAACCATTACACCATGTCAACATGTCCTTTAAGTAGTGATTTACTAAGTGTAGGTTAGATGTGGCACAAGGCTGAAAATATGGAACACTCCATAAGGATCAAACTCACCCCTTAGTCATAACTGATCTAGCAAGGCAATCTTGCTAATGATTACAACACAGTGCCTGAAATAGACATAGTGATTTATTAAGTGTAGTTTCTATGTGGCACAAGGCTCTAAATATGTAATGCCTAGTGAGGACCAATCTCCATACTCAATCATAATTGATCTGTGAGAAAAGCTTACTAAATAATTTACTAAGTGTAGCTTAGATGTGGCACAAGGCTCCAAATATAGAGCACCAAGTGAGAATCGAACTCACTACTTGGTTACAGTTGATCTATTGATTTACTTAGCTTAGATGTGGTGCAAAGCTGAGATTAAGGAGCACCCATTGAAAATCAAACTCGCTACTCAGTTGTAATTAATCTATCAAAACAACTAATTACTAACAAGGTGTGTTTACAACATTAGTGGTGACATTTAATTATTTTTACAAGCCAAAATATATTTTGGCTTTAAATAACCCTCAAAAGGTTGATAACTTGTAAAAAACATATCCATTAATTGTATGTAGGACAGGTATCTGGATAGCATTAAAAATGTATATAGGGCAGTAATAAAATCTATCATTAATTTGATGTAAATAAAAATGAAAAGATTTAATTAACTTCCTGTTGTATTTTCTTTTTGTAGATGAGACTTGATCTGAAAGGTGACAGGAGCATAATTGAGGGCCTGACTTACGAACTACGTCAAGCTGAACTTAAGCTCAATGAAGTTGGCCTGATAAATGACCAGTGGTTGGAAGAGCAAGGGGATGAATTTAAGACCAAGTGGAGCCAAGTGGAAAGCAAAGAAAATGAACTTATCAAAGACTATGAGAAGGTGCAGGCAGAACTGAAGGGAAAATATGCCACATTTAGGGAGGACATACAGGCAGAAAAAGAGCAAATTGAGGGCGCTTGGGTTGAACTTCGGAAGATGCAACATGACAAAGAGAGGGAGTTCAACTGCTGCAGGAATGACAAAGAGAAGAAAAATTTGAAGGCGGAGTTGGACAACATGAAAGAAGCTGAGAAGGAGTTACAAGCTCATGAAGATGACCTCGCTGTGGCTGAGCGGGGAAACGAACGCAGGAAGGTGGATGAAGAGGAGCAGTTGAAGAAGCACTTTCTAGAAGAGCAAGAGAGATTCACGCAAGAGAAGAACAAGCTGAAGAACGAGGCTATGAAAAAAATGGAGAGGGATGTCCACGAGAAGACCCTGGTGCTTGAGGAGCGTGAGAACTCCATTAAGATGCAAGAGAAAATTCTGCAAGACATGGAGGCAAAAATTAAGACAACCACAGAGCAGTTACAAGATGAGACAAGAAACCTGGAAGAAAAGCGTAAGCATTTGGTTGATGTCTGGGAAAAAGAGGATGCTGACCTTCGAACAGCATCCATTGAACTGAACAAGAAACAATCAGATGCTGAAAAGGCAGCCAATGATGAAATAGAAAGGATTGCTGAAGAAAGAAAAAGGTAATTGTAATGGTTTAGATGATTACATAAGAGAGTGTCTGTGTGTGTGTGAGAGAGAGAGTATATGCGTGTGTGTGTGTATATATATATATATATATGTATATATATATATATATATATATATATATTATAATAATATATTTGTTTAAAAATATGATTCCTTCGCTACATAAGAGTTCTCATGTTTCAAAAACGAGAGCCGAAATCATCCAAATAATTATTAAAATTAAGTTGGATTGTGGTGTTCAGTCCCGTTTCATCTTCAAGCGAAATTTTAGGAATAAGCTATCTCTCAGTTTACGTGTATTTTTAGGCATGGTCCGTTACAGAATTCGTTATTGTGGGAGTGGCTAGACTATTTTCCTTCGTTAAGTAGGAAATGTAACGAAGGAAACTTTAAACAAAAAATATTATTATAATATAAGCTCTACTTCTGTATGGAGCACTGTCTTCTTAAAAATACAAATAAAAATACTAAGGAACCCCAGATTATGCACCCAACGTGTTCTTTTCTATTTTCTGCATACCTATGCACTTATATATATATATATATATATATATATATATATATATATAAAAATGATCTCTACGTGTTTTACATGGGTCATTCTTGGGTGTCCCTGCTTGCTTTTTGTCATGCTCTGCTTGGTAGAAAGTGAATCTTGATGTTGGATGCCCTCAATCATTGCCTTAACAATCATAGTTGTCACACATAAAGGTTGTTAATTAATGGTTGACTCTTCACATGATCTTAACTTGTATTTCTATTAATCCCTAATCATCAGGAGTTTAGTATTAAGTGATTTTAAACATCTTTAATCAGGTGTATGTGACTCATACAGCCTGACCGTGCATCTGCTCCATTCCATTCTGTCCAAGGTAATTATCAACAGTTTTTGCCATGCTCTACTTGGTAGAAAAGGAATCTTGATACAGGACCGTTGCCCAGTGCCCTGTGAGAGATTTTTTTTTTTTTTTTTCTGGTCTAATAATAAAATATGACATTAATAGATATAAATGTTTGTTTAGCAACAACCTTTTTTGAAACTAATTCAGAAATTATTTTCATTATCGTTTTGAAAATTTTTAATTTATTTACTCAACTTTTGTTATTTTTAGACTTTTGACACTCCTTGAAAATTCAAGTACAACTGGTCATTATGAAAGTATTTGTAAGTATTTCAGTTGCTGTAAAATTCTTATCTTAATAAATTGCTTTCTTTCTTAATTATTTTTTAAATCAGAATTATGGTCATACTCTTTATAGTGATCAACTAATGAATTTAGTGTATTGTTTTATGAAAGATTCCTTTTGTATGCATATAATCTTTTATTTAAATTCCTTGAGAGACTTGAAGCAACAGCAATGTGGTTCTACAAAAAATGCTGAGGATACCATTTTTTGATCTAAGCTTTCGGCTCACATGAGCCATCTTCAGTATGGTTATATGGACATTTAAACAAAGATATTCACCATCAAAGATGATATTCTGTTATGTTGTCATAGAAGATTGTGAGCCAAAAGCTTAGGTTGAGGAACAACATAGTAAAATAAGTATCCAAATGTTGGATAATTTTTGTCTTTATTTTCTCCCAAAATTTGGGCAACCACATGAAGTTTAGAATGGCTCATGATCAAACATGGACATTTGTTGTCTGTTATATTTAACAATATATGTTTGAATAATGATCTGCTGCCCTAATACACACACACACACACACACATATATATATATATATAGTATTGGGGAACCATGGAATATTAATGTTTGTGCCTTTTATATTATATTCTTGCTCTGTCCTGGGCATTGAGCTCTACATCAGTCAGTTATGCGTCATGCATGATACACACTTAGGTGATCATGTATTTTTCGATATAAGACTGACGAGGCAGATTTTTTCCTGCAGTAGGTTGCCATTTCTTTTGGTGGTAGACCAGTTGCTATCCAAGGCTACAGAACCCAGTATGTCTTTGCTATTTATCCATAGCTGGAGGGAGAAGAGGATTCATACCTTTCCCAAGAGTATTAGCACATACCTGAAGAATGCTGAAAAGCACATGCTCGAAGCATTGTGATAATAACAACAAATATCTGGATGTAAATAATGATAATTTCTCATCTGAGAAATTACGACAGAAAATAATCCACTCTCATTACTGACTCTGGTACAATTCAAAAGTTGTAATTCTGAAAATGTTTGACTTCTTAGTTTCTTAAATAATTCTTGGAATGATTCCATATAATCACTTACCATTTTGGTTTTCGACAGCTGCTCCTCCCCTCTCGGTAGAACTGAATGGGCAAATTCATGAAGTTCCTCGAAGACCTTCATCAAGATCAAGTGATGCAGACTCTTTTGTTGAAGAAAAAATCCAGGTAAGAAAATATTTATGGAACTCATTAAATTGTAGGTAACATTTATTAAACAAACTAAAGCATTGGCTTTCACCTGATGATAGTAATTGTAATATTAGCTGTTTCCTTCTAAGGAAATATTCAGCATTTATTAACCAAGCAGTCAGTATTATTGTCATTGCAATTTATAAAATATTTCTCTTAAAACAATTTTTCAGGATAATACATTTCCTAAGTCCAGTAGCTGTTATTGCTCTTTCCAGTATTGATGGTGGTTTCCTTCCTAACATTTTGTTTGAAGTAATGTGGAATGTCATGATTATATTTTAGTGTTGGAAAGATACTTTTTCCAGTGTGGATAATATCAATTTTTGTTTATCCATTTGGGGATACATTTAGATTCTTTTTTGTTTATGTTTTTATCACATTTGTTACATATATATATATATATATATATATATATATATATATATATATATATATATATATAGAGAGAGAGAGAGAGAGAGTGAATGTTGACATAGGAATAAACACATGCCAAGTGATGTTAAGACCTTGTGTTGAGCAGGCTCTGTGGGATTATGAGAAGTGGGAGACAATGGACACTGGCATTTCACAGTTCTTTTGTATAGGACCAATGCTTTGGGTTATTTATGGTCATAACTTTTCAGTTGTTTATTTATTTCATTATCTTATTCATTGATATATTGCTTTTTCTTCAATATAAATAAAATTTATTAGATTTAGGTTATTGGATTTTATTTTTATTAGTCTTTTTGGTCATGATGTGGTTTTAGGTAGCATTTTTGTGTCTGCATTTGGAAATGAGCTCTGATCTTTTTTTTTTTTTTTTTTTTTAGCATTATATCGTGTTCTGGAAAAGTGATCATCTCTTTTCTCTTCTCGGTTAAATTGTTATTGAGTTGCTGTAAGCTGGTGCAATTTTTCTTCATTTCCATGTTAATTTTGATGTTTTGATATTTTTTGTCTGGATTTCCTTTGGATCTTACTGCAGCTTTGTATGTTATTTTTTAGGCAATTACTGTTTAATGGACATTCGAACTTTCTTCTACATTTACAGGTGGGTTGAATGGGTATTTGTGGTGTACTGGTGACTTTACTATTTTTTTTTTAATGCTTTGTTGTATGTTTTTGGTTCAGATGTAGGTAGGTTTTATAGTATTTCTGTTGAATATTTTGTGCAGTTTTCTTGATGTTGAGAAGTGTTTGTGAATGTGTTTGAATATTTTAGCGATCTTTCTTTTTAGATTTTTATTATTTGGTTGGTGAAACCCTGTGATGTTGGATTTTATTTTGTTCTGTAAAGTTTGAATGTAAATCTGGCCAATATATAAATGATAGAATGTAATTTGTTTGTCAGGCTCTGCAAGATTTGCAACAACAATACCAATCAGCCCAAGTACAGCTGGAAGAAAAAATGCGATCTTTTGAAGATGAACGAGATGCAGAATTGGAAAAAATTGAGTATGAAAAATACAAACTCCAAGAACTGGAAAACCAGGAAAGGCAAGTTTATTTGGATTTTGTGGGTTATCCACTTTTGGCTTCACTAAGTTGGCATTAGAGGGTACTGTTAAACAGTTGTGACACTATTTAGCTATGGTAATTGGCTAACTGCTTAACCATAGAAATTAAAACAGGAAATACTTAAGGCGAAAAAGAGCTATCCCGAAAGATATCCCGATCGATGTTAAAAAAAAAAAAAGATTTTATTTTATTTATGAAAAAGATACTTTTTCACAAAAGACAGTAAACCTGTGGAAAAAGCCATATGTGAGGTTTTGTCAGGTTGATTAATATCTTGCCGAGGGAGATAGGAAGAAAGGCAAATATTAAGATATTGGCCAGACCATGGCAGTCATAAAAATTTTGGCTTGAGACGATCGCCAATGCAGGCAGGGAGAATCAATGTTAATTATCTTTCCAAGATATTGTTTATTCTTTTTTCTTGGCCACCAGTGAGGAAAAGCAATGTGGCACTTATAAAGTTTTGGCATTGTCTTGACATAGACAAGACGATTGTTATTATTTACCTTATCAACGTGTTGCTTCAGATGCTGAAATGTTGAATAGCAATATGGCATTTGTAAAATTTTGGCATGAGACAGAAAATAAGGTGGAGATTTGAGATTTGGTGAGATAAAAGAATTTAATTTCTCAACAAGCCAAGGATACCATTATGAAGCTAACTTCACAAAGGGACCAGATGGCAAACTTTGACAGTGATTGATGGAGTCGGTAGAGAGTGCTGGCTAAGTGAATTCTGGGTAGCCAAAAGATATGATAGAAAGTTATTTGGCAATATGGAATTTGTAAAAATTTTGGCCAATGGGGAAAAAAGGAGAATTTTGTAAACAAAAATTCTAGATTATAATTTTATGGAGGCCAGCTTAGCCATACCCGCATGGCTGGGATGCCATTCGTTGAGTGGTGGCAATGGTGATAGGTGGAGGTGTATGGATGAGAAAGACAGAGAAGTTATTAACGCCCACTGAAGGGATTGGTATGCGATATCAATGTGAGAGAGAAAGAGTCTAGGAGGATAGCTCTCCTCCGACCTTCCCTCACGGACAACGGAGACCCCCTGAAATGGAAAGTGATTAATTTTCCAAAAATGGGAAGTAATCAAATTTCCTGGCCTGACAACAAAGAGATTTCTTGTTAGAAATCAAGATTTACCGAGAACCCCAGGCCGCGTCTGACCCCACACCGGGCTTTGGTCGGTACCCATATAAACAAACGTCTTCAGGTCGTTCAGAGAGTTCTGAGTTGCAGTCGTAGTTGAGCTGGTTTTGGAGTTAGACAGTTCAGTTCGAGTAGCGAAAACCAGAGAACCAAAGCTGACCAAGAGATTTCACAAGCTATGATTTTGCCTATCCTACCAATAGCAAGTTATACTGACGAATGAAGCCAAGCCAACACCTAAGAATTAAATCAGCTGACTTAAGATACCAACTTGCTTGAAACATAGGAGTGTCACATTTCGTAGAAAACGGGCTGGGAGAAAAACACACTCCTGTATATAATAAAAGGATAAAGTTAATTTGTTATTTCTTAACATACTTGAACCTCTTGGGTTTTTCTTTTATTTATTTATTTTTTCCTTTGTGCTTATGCGATACCACCTTCAGTCTGGACTCAGCCTATACTACGGCCTGATGCCTGATTGATTTCGTCTACCTAAGATCAAAGTCACAATGTGGGTAGGTTAGACTTGAGATCAAAGCAGTTACTCCAGTAACCAGACGTTGCAAGTGAGCTGGGAACGATAGAGCTGGCATTGAACTGGTACAGCTGGTGAAGCCGTTAACATTGACGACCAGAATTCGACCCTGGATGTGCCAGTGTCCCATATTGGTATCCCGACCAGGGGATTTCACTGAGTAGCGATGACCACCTATCGACCGGGACACAGGCTGGTGGCGGCGACACTGAGTCAACCCCAAAACACTGGTAGAAGAAACATTACAGTTTCACACCGCAACTGGGAGTTGACCACAGGCCAACGGCTGGGTGTCACACAGTTATAAAAATGAGACACTTTTCTCTCTTTTCCTTCTAGCATACATTAGAAGTAACACCCACCAGGATCTTGTCCCAGACATGGGGATATCATTCCCTTTAGTGACTAAACTTTCACACACGCACAATTCATCATTGTCAAATTTTAATGTCTTCTTTTCTAATGGATGATGACTCAGAATTGTTAATTGGAGGACCAAGTTCCAATTCCAGTTAGGTTTGTTATGTGCAAATACCTTTGGGAAAGGTATGAATCTACCTCTTCTTCCTCCAGCTATGGGTTAATTAGTAAGACTTGTATCACTAAACTATTATTATCTCAAAAACAAAATTCTTATAATTTTCTGGCTTTAAATAACATGAAAAGTGTTGATAAGCCATAGAAAATGAATCAATCGATCGTTAAAATCAATATAAAAATAATTGAAAATATCACCTTGAAATTTATTCTGTTTGCTTTCACTTCTGTAAATAAAGATAACTCGTCATTTGCAGGTGTAAATTTTGGTTGCCACAACTTTTAGTTAAACTAGGGGTAGTACCACAACATATGGTACCACCGACTGTTCAAAAACTTTTCACACAAGAGAAATATGAAGAAGAACCTAAGATTCCACTTAGTGATCACAGAAAAAAAATCCCAATCACAAGGTTTTAAATTCCAAAGTGGAATTTCTTGATGACAAATGGGGTAAATTTTTTTTATTCATAGATTTGGATACTGGGCATCGCAGGCAAAGGATGATGTTGGCCACTGAGACAGCAGAAGTTGCTTCAGGATGGCTGTGGATTAAAAGATGAAAGCCATGATTGAGGTCATGTTACCTGGACATATTGGAGCTTGATCAGTCTTAGCTGATTTGCCTGAAACACCCAGTAGGCTTCAGGGAAATTACTGATAATGTGTCCAGGTGTATCACAAATAATGTATTCAAGAAAGAGGATAACTGTCAATATTTTAACCAAATTTTCTTTAGCTGAGAGGAATCTGTTAAATGTAAATTTTTTAAATGCTTGGATTTTCTTAAACATGTCACTGCTTTTTCTATGAAAATTTCAAAATCCAGTATAGGAAGTGGATATCCCCTCCTCACATTGCTTTAAATTCTCACCTCTTCCTCACTGTGTATATCTCCCCTTCTCCTCGCTGTATATATTCCTCCCCTTCTACTCGCTGTATATATTCCCCCTTCTCCTCACTGTATATATTCCCCCTTCTCCTCGCTGTATATATTCCCCCCTTCTCCTCGCTGTATATATTCCCCCCTTCTCCTCGCTGTATATATTCCCCCATTCTCCTTGCTGTATATATTCCCCATTCTCCTTGCTGTATATATTCCCCTCTCTCCTTGCTGTATATATTCCCCTCTCTCCTTGCTGTATATATTACCCCTCTCTTCACTGTGTATATATTCCCCTTCTCCTTGCTGTATATATTTCCCCCTTCTAGCTGTATATATTCCCCTCTCTCCTTGCTGTATATATTCCCCTCTCTCCTTGCTGTATATATTCCCCCTCTCTCCTTGCTGTATATATTCCCCCTCTCTCTCCCCTCTCCTTGTATATATTCCCCCCTCTCTCCTTGCTGTATATATTCCCCCTCTCTTCACTGTGTATATATTCCCCTCTCTTCACTGTATATATTCCCCCCCCTTCTAGCTGTATATATTCCCCCGCTTCTAGTTGTATATATTTCCCCCTTCTAGCTGTATATATTCCCCCCCTTTCCTAGCTGTATATACCCCCCACTTCTACCTGAATATTTTTCTCACCTCTCCTCACTGTATCTTAATTTATTCAGTGGCAAAGAACATGAACATTTTTTGCTTCCTCTAAGCACCAAGTGGCAATAACTATATAAAGTCCTCCTTTTTTAAATACACTCTTTGTTTTCTTTTTGTTCATTGCACACTGATGTGTCTAATAGTTCAACAATCTCCATTTATCTAACTCATATCAGCAGAAAGAAAATCCCCAAAATTGCAGATAGCAGAAAATCTTACTTATTATAAAATGCAAATTGTGTGTGTGTGTGTGTGTCTGTAACGTTTATATGTTGGATCGAATTTCCTACATTTTTTAGCCGATTTCAACAAAACTTCACAGGACTACATAAAATTACCTTGTGGTGGTTCTAACGGGGCTGAAAATGGGAAAAATACAGTTGTTTTTTTAATAAAATCAATTTGAAAACACGATTAAGACACATCGTGAGAATGAAAGGGGACAACTCACCCACGAAAATGTAAACAAAAGAGCATAGCATGATGAAAAAAAAGCGAACTTAGACGAAAACAAAATTTTATTGTCTAATGTTCATATTATTATTAAAGAGGAAAGATCAAAGTATTTTGGGGGTATTTTTTTTTACATTTTTTAATCGTTCCTAGCACGTCTGAAATTTTAGATTAAAAAATATTGTTTTTTTTTTGGTCAAAAAAAAAAAAAGATAATCAATCATTTTCAATCATTTTTTTTCGATTTGATAAAAAAAGATTAAAATCTTACTTTGATATTCTTTTAAAAATCAATTATCATTTTTTCAAAACAGATTTTAATAAAAACAGAAATTATACTGTTTATTTAAAATATTTTGAACCAAGCTTAACTTAGCTTCTGTGCGAAAAAAATGTAATTTGAAAATAAAACAAAGTAGGTCATAACCTTTACGCGTCGCTTGACGATTGACGAAAGGCACATTCATGACGTTTAGATAACTTACGGGAGGAGAATTCTTTCTACGGATGGAAGGAAGTGAAATTATTTAAGTGAACAAATTATTTACCTTGTTACTTTTAAGGAAAAACTTTCAGCGCTCTAATTTTTTATTTTTTTATTTTATTTTTATTTTTTTTTGTACTTAGCTTTCATTTTTACATTTACGATGCTTTATGGAAAATATAAAGAAATTAAAAAATAAGACTGTTAATAGTGAGATTAAATTTCATAAGAAAAAGGTATCTAATTAATTTAGGTACCTTTCTTATGAAATTTTATCAGAAAAGTGTACATAAAATACTATAATTTTATGTACATTTATTACATTTTACTGTGTTATTTGTATTTCCATTCATTTTATTATTAATTTTGATATTTCATTTATGGAAAAATGTCATAACTGAGATTAATATAAAAATAAGTTCATATAAATTAAAGTTTAGCAGTAGTTAAATTTCATAAGATGATACTGTTACTTGTAGGTACCCTTCTCAGTTGAAATTGAAAACTCAAATTAACTTCTCCATCGTGTTTTTACAAAAAGTAAAGGGCTTAACAATGCTGAACTCAAATAATGCAACTAAATTGTATTCTGGTTGGTCTTCCATTACTTGATAATTACTGTCCGACTATAAACATAAAAATTACATTTCTTAATTACCATGGCTAATCTGATTGGTCCAAATTATACAATTTTCAAAGTGCTAGACAATGACAATCTCACACGGACATTTTGAAAGGTTGATGTTGCTTTTAACTAATGTTAAAATATTTTTAAAAATTCAATTTAAACATTTTTTAAAAATCTTTTAAAATTAAAGAAATAAAAATAATTGTATTAAAAATTCAATTTTCATTGAAAATTTTTTTTTGCTTTCAGAAAATATTGTCCATATTCATAAAAACAAATTAAAACAAATAAAAGCATTTGAAACTAAATAATATATTTGTTTTATTGAGTTTTGTATGTTACAATTCACAGCTGATTTTCAGGTACGTTGGCCAAAAAAACAAAAACAAAAAAAAACATGATTTGCATTCTTCAAAGCCTTGTGCTTTTAACTATTGTAATCACTAAAACCGATGGTCTCAAATTTCTAGAGTTTTTCATAAAATTAGTTATGGGGTGTTAATAAATATAAAAAAAATATTTCTGCCATGACTTTAATAAAAAAAAAAAAAAACATATTTATAATAATTTTGATCATCTGTGAATAGTTTCTGAAAGTTTCATTAACATCTGACAATTATTTTTATTTTGCAAGATTTTCCAAATTAATGTGTAAATACAAAAAAAAATGCTAAAAATTATCTATGTTATTTACTACCCCTTGTTGCGACCAAGAGAAACACGGTTTTTAAATCAAAATTTAGAATATTCTAAAAAGATGGAAAAATTTTTAAAAAAAAAAAAAAAAATTTAGTCTATCCTCTTCATAAAAACATAAGCATTTTGATGATAAAATTTTGTTTTCATAAACTTTGGCGTCTTTTTCATCAGACCATGCTCTATGTTTTAGCAATTCCGTGGAGTGACTTAGGTTAAAAAACCCAGGTTGTTTATGTGTGTGTGTGTGTGTGTGTGTGTGCGTGTTCCTTTATATATGGGATCAGATTTCTTACATTTTTCAGCCGATAAAACAAACATCCACTTTTTTTTTGGCAGGTAGTATTTCTTATTGTCTTGCACACTTCTTTCTTTATTCACATTCAGAATGCTTTAAAAATTCCATTTACAAGACAATTGTTTATAATAAAATTCTATTCACCAATCGATAGACTCATAACGATTGTAAACAATGTTTTTGTTTGAATTTGGGTTTGACCAATTAAACAAAAAAAAAAAAAAATAATTAAGACATGCGTGTCCGTCAACCTTAAACAATAATCTTTGTCAATTTTATTTTCAGTCTTTATGATGGTCGATACTTGATCTATCTCTTACTGTTACATCCCCGGGCAACGCCGGGCTCTACTGCTAGTTGTTGATAATGTGTAAACGATATTAGTGTTTAGATGCCAGAAACTCCAGTTTGTTTTTCATAATTTCTCTTGGCTTTCAGAATCAATGCTTTAGTGGAACAGGAAGTGAAGAGGCGTCTTTTTGAAGAGAAAGTTGAGCGTGAAAAGCAAAGACGTATTGAAAAGGAACAAGAAAAGAAAGAACGAGATGAAGAAATCTCTCGGATACGGATGATGCACAGTCGTGAGTTGAAGCACCTTAAAGCTAAATATGAACGAAAGTGAGTTTAACATTTTCTTTTCATACATTGATCTCCTGTCTTTGACACCCTTTTGCAAATTCAATGTCTATATATGTATGTATGCATCTTTGAGGATCCATCTCTGTATAATGCTGTATTCAGTGAGATTTAAAAAATACAATGTCGAAAACCCAGACTGTTAAACCTTTAAAAAAATAATAAGCTTTATAAATTTATCAAATATGCAGGGTGTGACAGAAATACCTCCCACATAATGGTAAGACATTAGTTAGAGGAAGACACCTTTGCCACTAATATCTTGTATCGAAGGTATTTCTGCTGTATCTTGGACTAGATAATTATATAACTAAGAAAAAAAACACATTGAACATCAAATTAATCCTTTTATTAATTAAACAGTTTTTCTTCTCCAATTTTACATTGCTTGTTAAGCCAATTAACCTTTTGTTTAACTTGCTCAATATTATGAAGTTTTTGTTATTTTTTTTTGTCTTTTTTAATCATATCAGCCCCTCCCCTGCAAGGCAGCAAAGCCACTAAGACACAAGGGATTACTAAGTGTGAAAGAATTAAAAAAATAAAAAGGAGAGAGAAACATTATTAAGGAGTGAGAACAATAGAAGAGTAATCAAGAAGACAGTAGATAATGATTGACATTGCATTTAAATTTTTGAAGATCGAAGTTGATGGGAAACTTGGAGACAGAAGAGAGTTCCACAAGCGAAAAGTCTGAGAAAAGAAACTGTTAGCATAGAACTTACAGTTACATCTGGCTAATTCAACTGTGAATCCATGAGATGTTGATGCCAATTTAGTACTGTGCTTAAATTCATAAAGTCTAGGTACCATAGAGGAAAGCTTATTAGAACAATTACTATGAAAGTATTTATAGTAAAGGCATGGGGAGGCTACATTACAGCAGTAGAAAAGTGACTGAAGCCGAGATGCCAGGTCAGGAACAGTAATATTGCTGATTCTTCTTTGGATTTTGTCAAGAATCTCTAAATATATAACAGGAGCACTGGACCATATGTGGCAGCAATATTCAAAGTATGGATGAATGGTAGACTTATAAATATGTAAGATAGATTCAAGAGAGAAAAATTCTCTCACACATCACAGTAGAAGCATTATCACTACTATTATTTTACAAATTTTGTCTGGAAACGACTCCGTCATTTCATATTAAAGAAAAAGTAGTTTGTTTAAATAAAGTGTAACATTGATATACTGTTCTTCTTCAAAGTATTACAATCATCAAAGTTAAGCAATGTTGAGCCTGTTCAGTACCTAGATGGGTAACCACTTGAGAATACCAGGTACTGTATGCTTGGATAAGCAGCTGGTGTAATGGATAATGGCTTGAAATTGTTAATCAGAGAGCTGAGTTTCAATTTCCATTGGATTCATTATATTTACTTGAATGCAAATATTCTTGGGTAAGGTATGAATCCATCTCTTCTTCCCCAGCTATGGATTAATTAGTAAGACTTGTATCCCTAAACCTTTATTATCTCAAAAAAATTCTTACAATCTAAAAATATTTTCTGGTTTTAAATAACTTGTAATGGGTTGATAATTCATAAAAAAACAAATCAATCAATCAAGACACTTACTGCAGCATCCTTTTCCTTTTTGACAGTTTGCAAGGTCCTTTTCAGTATCCTCATCAGCTGCCTTGTTGTTTTCTCTTTTATCTCATCCACTGTCTGAAATCACTTCTCAACAGCAAATTTAGCTTTCAGAAAAACCTGAAGTCGCAGGGAGAAAAATCTGGACTATGAGTGGGTTTTCTGACATACCCTAAGAAAGACAATGTTTTGCCAATAAACCTTGCATTGTATGTGATGAGTGGGCATTCAAGATACAAAAAAATGACCAGATTCTTTCTGGACAGTGTATGGAATCCCACAGATATTCTGTCATTATCATTTGCTGAGTCCCTTTGGTTACAGCCACAGTATGGGGGGGGGGGGTTCTGCTTGTTGAAAGTGTTCCAAAATGCAAATCACTTCCAACAGATTGCCAGCCAACTTTGAAGCATTATTACTAAAACATTATTGAGGCTTTACTCATTGAATTTCCCCCACCCCAATTTTTTTTAATTCTTCAAATAATTTCTGTGGAATTCTGGACACTTGTCCACCTCCTCTGTAATGTATTTTCTCCCTTGTCTTTCTATTGATAACCTTTTTTGGTTCTCACTCTCCTGATGTAAAATGCAGACATCTTGTTAGTTCATTAAAGTCTTGCTGCTGACTGAGTAACCCCATAGGAGAGTACCTAATAACACGTGCAGCAAGGTCTCCTATAATTGGTTGCCCATTTACGTCAAGGCTATGCAACTGGTTCTTGACAAAATGACTATCATTTCTGGATAGACCTTTTATTAGTAATTTTACTCCATCTTATTTTTGTTGTGATTGAGCTTAAGTATTTTCACTCTTATTATTTTATTTCTAACTTTACTTGTCTTCTTATTGCTCTCCTGGTTAAAGATTCAGCGTTGTGACTTTACTGCATAAATACAATTTGAAAAGTCCTCCGATATGACAGTGAATGCTGGACAATCTCCTCACAAATGAAGAAGATATAATCCACGCAATATCAACACAGTGCCAAATGTAACTCTCAACATTTATTGACAACCCTTTATCATTGATATGTCTATCACTTCTCAACTCACACTCCCCAGCTCTGAGCTCTGTCACTATCCTTATTTTCCTCTCAGTCACCAGTCAGTATCTTTGTTGAATAATCCTGACCTTACGGGTCATCCGGCTTTTGTTTTCCTCCTCAATTGTGGCCAGTGTGTCACCTCAATAGGTTTGATTCAGGTTTCCCAAAATCGTACAATATTTGATTGACGGCAACTTCTGAAGTCAGGCTGGAATAAGAACTCCTTCAATAAAATGCACAATGCTGTTTATAATTGTAACAAGTTTATTGAATATAAAGGAAAAAACTATTTGAATAAAATGTCTCTATTAGCTACTGCAAAGCAAATACTCTACTGCAGGAGTGGTGATTTGGAGATTCTAGTCACAACCATTAAAGTCATGTCCATTCAATTGACTCTCACTTTGTTCTTCAGTTATGAGTGTCTTTGTGTTCATTCAGGCCATTGAAAGTGCAGGTGTGTTTCCTGTGTGTGATGACTCATTGGGGGACAAATTCCTGTCTGTCTGAGATGTCTCACCTATATAGAAAACTCCCTCTCCAAAATTTGACATTGATATATTTAATTTCTCCACCCAATCATTTTAATCTTAAGAGACCTTGTTAAAAAACCATATGGTGTTTTTTTTTTGTTTTTTTTTACTTAGACTCTTCCTACATATCTTACTGCAAAGATAATTGTTTCCTGGATGATCAACAAAAACAACTTCTACATAAACCAGATGTTTTTTTGTTTTTGTCCAGAATAATTTGTAAGAACACAAACATTCTGAACAGATAGGATAGTGTAAACAAACTACTGAGTTTTAATTACTCAAGACCTAAGAAATTTGGACAACACATTAATCATGTCTTCTTCTTATCGGCAGGAAGTGTTTAGGGTTGGAAATTTTGATTTTGCTCAATTTTACTGAAACTTGTCTTATGAAATCTGGGTTCAATTCTCCTCGGAACTGTTCTTAAATTCATTTTATTATTTTAAAACATAATTTCTAATGCATTTCGTTGTTAATTTTCTTCTCAACCATTCAACCTACTCTCCTGAGAATTTCAATAATTATCCAATTTGTACTGCCTCCAAATCAGCATCCTGCAGTTTCAGTTTTCATTTAATTTTCATTTAAATGTTTAAACAGGGTCAGTACTCTGTTATAAAGAGACTTGAAGCAACAGAAATGTGGTTTAGCAGAAAGATGTCTGAGAAGACTATGAACCAAACATGTGAGCAACAACAAAGTTTTAGATAAAATGGAAACAAAAATGATAATTACATCAGCAAGTGACAGTTGAAATTTCTAGGGCATATAATGAGGAAAGAGAGCTTGGATAATTTGATACTCACAAGACAGATTGAAAGCAACACATAACCTACCTGGCAAGCTTAAATAAATGGATAGTGGAACAAGGTTTAGGAGAGATAACAAAAAGACAAAATTTATTAAGAGCTACAAAGGTCACAAAGTTGTGGAAAGCCATGATTGCAAATGTCCTGAAGGAACATGGCACATAGAAGAAAAATGAAATTGTAAAAAAACTAAATTTTGATTAATTAAAGAAAACATCCTAGGATTTTGCTCATTTTCATTTTAAGCTTTTTAAAAAAAAAAAATTTGTTTATGATAATGGGAATCATTTATTGTTTGGTACCAAATTTCTTTATTTTAGTAATAATCACTTTTTAATAAAATCTACCAATAATTTAGTACTGAGTTCAATTCTAGCTTGATTCTATTCCATTCACTTCACACTAATGCCCTTGGAAAAGGCATGAATCCATCTTCCTCCAACTACGGGTTAAATATCAGAGTAGACTGGGCTTTCTTGCCTAGAAGTAGCAACCATTCTAGGAGAAAGAAAACTAAATTCAAATTCAACCTGAATAGGGATGTGTTCTGTCAGCTGATCTTGCTCTAGACACACCATTGCTGCTGTGGCTACAGTAAAATGTGGTGCATCTATGACCTTAATAGATTATCACACACACACACACACACACACAATTTGAATTCTCTTGGCTATTTCCCTATTTTGTTTCTCTTTTAAAGTTCCTTCCCAAACTGGTATTCTTATTTTGTCTTAATACTTTTCATTCAGTGATGGCCCGCTTCCTTCAGCTGTGACTCCCACCAGATCCAATCCTTACGCAACTGTCATGGTAAGTTGACTTGCACTCATTCAACCTTCAACCATGATTTCATTCATTTACTTGCTTTTTATATTGGCTAACAAAAATATTTATTTTGTTTATTAATTTAAAATGATAAAAGACTTTTTTTTTTCATTTTTTTTTTTTTTATTTATTTATTTATTTCACCCCAAGCAAAGCAATAAAGCCACTAAGACATAAGGGAGTTACTGAACATGAAAGATTATGAAAAAAAGAAAAATGTTATTAAGGAGAGAAAACAATAAAATAAACAAAAATTAAGAAAATAAAAGATAACGACTGACATTACGTTTAAATTTTTTGAAGATCGAAACTGACCAGAAAGCAAGAAGTCGGAAGTGAGTTCCACAAGAGCGTTCTTTTTTTTTTGTGTCAGCAAAGAACTACTCTAGTTGCTCTTTGTACTCTTTCAAGAGATTTTATGTTTTCAACATCTGACTATATTTCTGAAATGAGGCAGTGTAACTATTTATACTATTTACATTGTTTGGACTGTTGTCCTCCTCTTTATTGCCGTTTCAGCCATTGTGATTTGACCCAAAGAGTTGTGAGTTCAGTACCAGACCACAGCAGAGGGAACAAAAAAACTTGGAGAGTTATCAAGTGGAATTAACTCAAACAGAGATATCCAAAGGCATGGCATGTGGAAATAGAATAATCTATCCCTGTGGACTAAATAAAGGGTTTGATTTGAAATTACAAGCAATATCACCTGAAGAAGGCTGAAGTATACAATGGCCAGACGTGAATATGGCAATAGAGATGAAGACAACAGTTTGAACAATGTAAATAGTCTAAATATTTAATGTCTTTTTATTAAAGAGAATTCAGTAAAGATGAAAATAAATGGCAATTCTAAAGTCTAATGTCTGCTGAATTCAGTGAATGAATGAAAATTTCCCCATCCAAACTGGAACACATTTTAACTGAAACGTCTAGTCTAGTGTTATCATGAGAGAATATTTTGCCCTATTCACTAAATTAATTTCCAACACTTTCCATTGATTAATGTTGTCATTTGATCTGATTGGAAAAAGTATTTGTTCAAATCAATCAATCGGTCCTCAGGAAGGAGCTCATAGTAGAGAGGTCCCTACCATAAACACAGCATTACTTTCTTGGGTGTAGACCAGTGTTTGGCACATTTGATGGTGGTTCATTTCACTTGCCCCATGACTTCTTGCGCTTCATACTGTTGTAATTCCTTATCACAATTTGCTTTAAAAAAATCATGCATGAAAAGATAGCCCCCTCAGTTGTTGTCACTTATGTGGAAGCCACACCTCAAAGTGACTAACATAACCAGGCTGGTGCAAATACTTTTTTAACATTGATTTTGATATTTTAAAATCCATTGGCTTTCTCCAATGTCACACACAACATGGATTATTCTCATGTTTTTTGATTGGTATCAACTTCCACTGATTTTCCTGACCATGGAACCTCATTCAGTGAGAAATCTCCATCATAAAACTTTGCAAACCACTCTTTACACTTTTGATCAGTCACATTACCTTCTCCATAAACTGCACAAATCTCTTTTTGCAATCAAGTAGGTAGCATCTTTTTTTAACATTTTTAGAAATTTTTTCTTCTATATTCATTGCTTGAAACAATAAATGTGACATTTTTGACAACAATTTCATGAGAACTGTCACAAAAGCATCAAAAAGTTAACTAAAATTAAAATTATTAACAATATATAAGTTGGCTCCTAATGCCATCTAATAACAAAAACTGAACAAACTTTTTTGATGACTGAGCTATTTCCTATTTTATTTGTTACTCATCTAAATGCTGCTTTTAGCATTTGTCAAGCCTCTTCCTATTTCTAGAATTAATATTATAATTCTTTGCAGCTTCAAGGATTCTTTCTTAAGTCTTCCTATTAATTTTTTTTAAGAAAAAAAATGAACAACTTTGGTATTAAGTTATAAATTATTCCCCTTTGAAAGATTTTTTTTTTTTTTGCAGGGCGGGGTGGGGGGGTGTCAGTTTATAATTAAAAATTACTCAGGTTCTTAAAGATAAACGATTTTTATAGTATTGTGCTAATAAAAAGTATGCTACAATGTACTGTTTTTGGTGTATTATGTTAAACACACAACCCTAGAGAAGTTGGATCAATATAGATAACTCCTGCATTTTTTATATACATACCTTCATACAGAAAAATAACTTAAAACAGAAAAGAAGCAATTTATATATTGTTAATAATTTCATCTATTAAAAGACATAATTGAGGAATGAAATTGTGAATTATTGTTTAAAATGTAAATAAAAAGTAACCTTAACTCATTTTTGTTGGATGTCTTAATTGCAAAATTATTTTTAATGATTTCTACTCATCCTTAAGGAAATAAAATTTAAATGACTTTGAATCCTTTTTATCTTTCATATATTCCATCAGATGAATTATTTCCAAGGGGAAAAAAGTTTTTCTAGGCATAATTCCCTCATTTTAATTTTTATTCTCTCTCTAAAATTTAAATGGCACTAAATCCGCTTGAAATTATTTTAAATGAAGTCTTTGAATTTTGTAAATTTCTTTGGTATTTGCAAACCCAGGTGCAATATTTGCTCATTTTTTAACAAAAGTGAGGGAACAGATTATAAAAAATAAAAATAAAATATATCTGAGATAGGGAATACAATTTTCATTTTTCTTTAGATTTTATAGAAACAGTATCACTTTCCAACAAAAACTGACTTGAACAAGTAGATTAATTCAAAGAATTCTTAAGAATTCTATTTGCACTATTTATATTCAGACTATTGCCATCATCTTTGTTGTTATCACAACGTTTCAGCCATTGTGCCCTCTGGCCTACCTCAGGTGTATATCGATCTGGGTAACCTACAAGGAGTTCAGAACCAAACACTTTATTTAATCTATAGGAGTAAACTGTTGTCATTTCACTGCTCATATCTAGGGATATTGTCTAGTTCCTACTTTTATTTCATACTGCTCACTTATTGCTGACCCATTTCCATTGTGTACAAGTCCACATTGCTTGACCCAGTGATTGAAATTACAATCACTGTCAGCAAATTCACAAAACAACACTTTAATCCACTAGATCACAATGACCTAAATAATGATAGATCCCCATCTCAGAAATTCAGACAGAAATTAAGAATTCTAACATCAACTTTTAGGCATAGACACTTTTATGTTTTTTATTTTTAAACTATCCAAGAATTCTACTTGTTTTTGTTTTAATTTCATATTTTAAATATTTGTTTAATGATGATGAGAATTGATTGACCCTGTTTGGTACTTGTCCATTCCAGTCTCCAGATGCATTTACTCCAAGTTCCAACATGGAACTTAGAAGGAACAAATATGTGAGTCTCATTTGCATGAGAGTTTCTTCTTGCACTAATCTGGCTTTCATTTTTTTTGTCTTGATTGAAGTCAAACACTTTTTTTCTTTTTACTTTCTGCTTACCAAATTTTAATTTTGCCAACACTAACTAAAAAGTGAAATAGTGCAGTAAATTATGGCATTTTTTGTTGGTTTTTAATTGTTAATATCTGAGGAAATGGTATTGCTTGGAACTTATATGGGCATTCTGCTTTGCAAAATAAATGGCTTTCTAGTGGAAAACTGAATTCTTATGGGTCAATTATTATTATTATTATTCCTTTCCATTTTGGTTGTTATGCTTAGAATCTTTCAGTCATTGTAACCTCTGGTCTTCTGTCATATTTGGTAACCTTAGAATTTTGAATGGTACCCTTTATTTAATCCAGAGTAAACAGAGTTTTAGGTGTCCACAAAAATTTGACATCATTTTTTTTAAAAGCAATTATCTTGAAAACTACTAAATCTAGCTCAATGAAATTGAACAGTTTAGGTGTTAAACAAATTAAGTTTATTATGGAACCGATTTCATAAGCACCGCCTGTGATATGGCACATCATGTCAGTAGTTAAGCTCTTGCCAAACACGCTGTAGCATGTCTCCAGTAACATTATCCAGTGCAGAAGTGATTTTCTGCTTGAGTTCATCAATGCTAGCAAGAAGAGGGGGTGGACATAGACCACTCCCTTCACATATCCCCATAAAAAGAAATCACATGGGGACAGGTCCAGAGACCATGCCTGATCCATCTTTCTGGCAGATTCTCATTAAGATAAGCATGTACTGTCCTCTTCTATTAAATATAAAATCTTGATCTGTTTCTATACATTCTGTGAAAATTTGAGGATATTTCAGCAAGAATTGCCAAAATTATTGGCCTGCGAAATGATGTCAAATTTTGGGGGGACACCCTGTGTATGCAAATGATAGCATAATGTATGGTGCACCTCCAAATATCTTGATGACAAGTGACTTGCAGTTGATCCCTCCTCTGGTCTAACTTTTACAGTTCAATAGGAGGAAAGACAAGCTGATATCATTCAATACATCCAAACCTAAACTTGTAAGATCTCATTACCCCCTCCTCCCAACAGACGCTAAGCACTAATCCTGATGATGGGTCATGCCCTCAAAATGGCTCCTTGTTTCAAACACCTACTGGGGATAAAGCTCACTCCCAACCTCAAATGGAACACATATATTTGTGCCATCACAAAAGAGGTTTAAAGAATATTTAGTTCCTTGTATTGCTCCATGCTCTGTCTGTCAGATCAAACCAAGAATCAATTATTGCTACCATGTTTGGGCTGGTGCTGTCTAATCTTCACTATCCACCCTCAAAAGAATTCAAAAGCAATTATGAGGCCTTTTGAGAAATTATTCTCTACCTTGCAACTATTATCGCACAGATAAAACATTTGTAATGTCTCACTACTCTATTGCTATTACTATGGCAGATGTTCAGGCGAGTTACATTCCTTCATACCTCAAGCCTTGGATCTTTACAGCTAGGACTTGCTATGCTGTGTTCATGCTGACAAAACATCCCCATTCCCTTTGAGTTCCTTTGATAAGAAGCAGGTTCCTCTTGGACAACTTTTTCCCTCAAACTTACTTTGTGGAACAAACTCCAGAGAAACTGCTTCCCTGACAATTACAATCTTGGTCTCTCAAAGTCCAGGGTCAACCAATATCTATTCTACTCTCTTACACCCCCTTTTCCCTCCACTACAATCTCACTCAGTAACCCTCTACCTTGAGTGACCCTTTGGCCTTGAATTGGGTGAACTATCATTTAAAAAAAAAAAATAGTGGGAGAGATTATTCTCCTTTCTATGCTATGGGGAGATAACTCATATCGGTTAATTCTCTCTATTTTGTTTGATATGAATTTTTTTTTATTTCATTACTCAACCCAGTCATAATAATCCATATTATCAACATTAATGCTGTTTAAAAAAAAAAAAAAAAAAAAGGAAGAAAAAAAAAATCCATTTCACCCCACCCAGTGATACAGATCATCATAATGAAGTCAAGTAGGAAAATGCAAAACAATTTTTGGTTTGATTTGATCAATATAATCTTTTTCATTTGTTGCAATCTTTCTTCTTGTGTATTTCTTATGGTGCATTGTCCTATCTTGAAATCTTACACAACAACAACTATTTTATAGCATCTATTTGGAAGTAAATGAATAAAATAAATACGTAAAACGTGGGAATATATATATATATATATATATATATATATATATATATATGAGAGAGAGAGAGATGCTTTTGGATGCGTCTCTGGTAGAATGAATTTATACTCACACATGGCGGAAAGTTAATCTTCGTTTCGATTCGGTGGAACCAGTGATTGTACAGCTAGCCATATCTCAGACCCAAGCGTCAAGTTACAGATAACGCAGTGCTAGGGGGGGGGTCAGTGACCATTCCTACCCTTCACCAGCAGTAGGCTTGGGAGAATTTGCATTAATAAAATATTTAAACCACGAGGAGAAGCGAACGGCATAACGATTCTGCGTGAGATCAAATTTTTTTTTTTTTTTATCAAGCAAAAGACAGCCACTGGGCCAATGAATACTGAAGACATGCTAACGCCTGGCGAAGGGACATTTTTCCCTTTTTTCGAGGTAGGGGGGACGATTTCCAACTACGCAAACATAGTGTTATAGGTTACGTTAGAACAATTATCAATGTTAAATTACTCGGAGAGACCAAGCAACAATAAATGAATAAAATAAATACGTAAAACGTGGGAATATATATATATATATATATATATATATATATATATATATATATATATATATATATATATATGAGAGAAAGAGATGCTTTTGAATGCGTCTCTGGTAGAATGAATTTATACTCACACATGGCGGAAAGTTAATCTTCATTTCGATTCGGTGGAACCAGTGATTACAAAGGGTATAGACAAAAGTCTGTACTACATTATTTATCCAATTCAAAATCCTAATTAGGTGACTGAATACAGTGGATAAGGGAAGAAGACCAGGGGTAAGAGAACCAAAAAGTGATTATAACAACCAAAATGAACTCAAATATATAATGATAATAAGTAAATCTTATATAAAGGTGTCAGTTGGGATGCAAAAGTCTTGGTAAGTAAAATTCTTTATACACAAACACTATGGCACTTCATGATATTTTTATTTTTTTATTTTAACACACACAAGTAAATCTCAAATCATAAATAATCCATATACAGTAGAACCTCAATTTAATGGACTAATAGGAGGCGGATCATCTGTTAAAGCTGTTTGTCCATTAATTTGAAGCACTTTTTTTCATGACCTAAAAACCCCCAGTACAGTACAAAATGATTGTAAATAAATGTAAATACAGTATATATGTATGTCTATCTTATTTTTAAGTTATTATATACCTTTAAATAAAGTTTTAAAGTTTACCTAAACTTACCTTTAAACATTGTTGTGATGGTTTAATATTGCTATGAAAGTGCTGTGATTGTATAGTGGAGCCTCACAGTAGCAATTACTGGAAGTCATGGAACTTCTCCAAAGTAGTGCTGGTGCATGGGAAGGGTGATAATGGCATGCTAGTGGGGGAAAGTTGTGGTGGTGGCAAGTTGGGGTTGCTTTCATGAGCCGCCTGTTTGAGCTGGAAGAATAAATCCAATTTTGTATTCCACTTTGATATTGTTCACGAATTGTCAATTCCTTTAATGTTCAAAGGTGTTGATTATATGCCTTAATTTACATCACATCAACAAATTTTAGGAGAGTATCAACAGAATCATGCATGTTAGACATTCTTGGTCATTTCACCACCTCTTTTTCTAAATCACTGCTGCTTGAAGTCAAGGGTGAATTGCTTGACAAAAAACAATACTATATACTGTACCAAATTCAGTATAAAATGTTCATGTGTGTAGACGACAAGCACTCAAGTCAACAACAGCGGTTATTTCCAGAACTACCAGTTTCTCTTGATTGCACCAGTAAATAACAACAGCCAATTCTGGAAATAATGGACTAACATTTCTGTGGTGTTTGTCAATTAAATCTGGAATCCATTGGTTCAAGGACTGTTAATTCAAGGTTTTTACTGTATATGAAAGCGAAGTGATATCTATCCTGTTAAAGATCGGAGGAAGAATTCAATAAACATGGCAATATTATTAGATTTACAGTTCTAACAAACTTCCAATATGAAACAATATCGTTATTATTAATTTATGACTAGTCTTCTTTACATCTGCTTTCTGTTGCTTTTTATCACAACTCTCATATTTTGTACTTTGATTCTGTGACCTTTTTTAAGTCAGCAGGATGAATGGTAAATAAAGTACAATTCCAATTCTCACAGGTGGTTCGTTCTTTATTTCAAATCCACCGTCCTTGCTTAATGATTGTAGAATAATGACCTGAAAGTCACAATGAAGAGACAACAGATAGAAGATGTTAGAAACTCATAGAGAATGAATAATAATAATAATAATAATGACAATGCTTCATCTGAAGAAATTAAAACTAAAAATGACAAACAAAAAAAGGAATAATACTGAAACATTTCTTCATCAAATATTAACTAAAATAAGTTTTTTTTAAAATTTTTCTTTTCTACTTTGCTTTAATATTGCAAGAAGAATAAGCTTACAAATAAGTATGACTCAATATCCATAAACTGACAAAGTACTTAGCAAAATTTTGATATGAAATTTTCTCTGTATAATGTTTGATCTGAGTGATTAATAAAAACTGATTACATTTTCCTGAAAAATAAATATTTGTTAAATAAAATTAATGCCATTTTTTTTCATTAAGTTACTGACTTGTTTCTATATATGGGCAGATGGCTGAGGGGTTAAGCGTTTGCTTTCTGACCATGAGACTCAGGTTCAAATCTCACTAGGGTCGATTTTTCAGGAAGATGTTATTAGTCTGGAGGAGACAATCCCAGCGTGCAGCACCTTTGGAAAGTGCCTGTA